AGGATGTTCCTTTTGATATTCCTTTAGGAAGGAACCAAAGTATTTTACTGACTTTAACTTACTTTTGCTAAAGTTAGCCATGTCTCTACTCTTCTCAAACCATAATTGCTTTCCCATGGTTCATAGAGGGACACTATTACTGGACTTCTGCTATACATACTGTGGCATTCGCCCTTGTGGCCCCTGCTTGTCTTTCCCTCAGAAAGGCTCACATCATGTTTTCTTCTCGCTGCCACCAGTGGATTACCTCAATCCACAATATAAATGACGTTTGTCTGAACACTTGACTTGTGAACAGAAACAGAACTTATTTATTGAAGTGAAGCAGATTGAATAATAACAGAAGTTTCTCAGATAAACATATACAAAAGCAAATCATCAACAGTTTTTTCAGTACATACTTCTTTTCTCTTGCTATATCATTACCACCTTCTCTACCTATTTTTCTAACCCGCTCTTTATCTTTCAGTATCTGTTCCATCTCTCTCTGACTAACCAGCCCTATCTGACTCCTCCTTCTCCTGCCAAACCTCATGTAGCTGTTGACTCTGCCTCTCCAGTCCTCTCATAGCCTCATGCAAATCAGCTCATAAGTATGAATAGCATGAGTGATGTGGGCAATTGTCACATTGTGCTCCCCTAAGAAAAAGTTTGTTTCATGAGGGAAAATCCTACAGTTTACCCTTATGAACAACAGAACATACAGGGAACATTACATACAAAACACCATCAATGTAGTGGAGCAATGCACTTGTTACCCCAGCTTGCCATCTACCAACACAGAAGTGAATTTTAGGGGGAAAGATTAAGAAGCCAGCCAGAATGCAAGAGAATTAGGGGTATTGGTGGAGCAAGAAACAATTGTTGCTGGGGACTCAGAGTGACATTATTTCATTCTCACATGCAGACACTTCTCAGTTGTAGATTTTGACTGCTCTGGGGCCTTCAGGCCTTAGCTTACCTTGATTTTGAGAAAAGTTTTTACAATGGGGTAGACTAATCCTTGTGGGAGATACTACACCTCCCTTGTTTCCTCTCTCTTTCTCATACACAGACACACAGAGATACCTATGTGTTTGCTGTTGGGACAAGAAAAGCCTTGGTGCGGCTTCAGAAGGAAATGCAGGACTTGGTATGTACTGTGACGTGGGGTGGGAGAGGGGGATGAAATCCTCTCTTAGGATAGTACGTATAAAATGTATTTAAAAACATTTATGGTACAAAACAACGTTCTCAGTATTGTGTTAATTATAAGTAGCTTCAAGCTGCCTGGTAGACAACATAATTTGGTTGTAAGAACTCTAAATTGGGTGCAGTTGCTGTATTAATTGAACAGATTTCAACACAGTGGAATGCTTCTGATCAGACCTCAGAAAAAATGCTTTTAAGACTACAGCTCCCTTAATCTTGTGGACTGACTAGTTACCTTTTTTTCTAAGTAACTTAAAAATTGTGGTTCAGGCGTACTGCCAAAACATAGTTTGATGTTGCTTCAATAAGGCTGGACGGATCCTCTGGCTCATTGTGTACTTTGTTTTCCTCTCCTGCAAATCAGGATTAAAAATCAAATTAGAAAAACCTTTATAGTGCTTGTGAAACTCTTCAGGATTTGTTCCGTAAGCCAGTTATAAAACATTTGTTACAACATCAGATATGTAGAAATCCCTGATGTCAAAATGCATTCAGCGAATGGTAATTTTTTAAGGAAGTAGGTTGTGCTGCAAATGTTATTTTAATTGTTTTCATATTCTATGTGCTAAATATATTTTCCATTTGTACTAATTAATGAAATCTTACTTAAGTAAAAGGCTTTTGCAAAGTCAATGAGGCAGAAGTAGGGGTTTTTTTTATGGAACTCTCTGGCTCTCTCCATGGCTATGTAGCAATTTGGTTTCAAGTTCATCTGCCCCTTCAAAATACAGCTTGTACTTCTGGGAGTTCTTGATCCACATACTGCTATAATGGGCTAACTGTGGCTAATTTTGAATAACTGTAATTTCATCTGATACTTTAATACAAGTTGTTCTGCTTTACACTTTTCATTTCATTATTGCATTGTATTGTTAGAAATTCATTGATTTTCCTTTGATTTCTTTAATATCATGCCTTCATTTCAGAAATATTATCTCCTGTTTATCTGCTGTAATTTAAATAAATCTTTCCATTAATTATATTCGTAAGTGGCCTAGTGCCATTTCTAGTTCTGCCCTCCTAATCACTGGGGTAACAGGAACCTCATTTTCATATTAGTTTGGCTTAAGAAAAAAAATTAAAAATGTAACTGATAGAGTCTGTGCACAGCAATTTCAAGCATTATGTTAAAAAACAAACTAAATGCAGAGTAAAAATGGGTATTCTCTCTTGCATGCTTGTGCTTGCCAGCAGTTGAAAGTAAATAAAATGATCAGTTGGTCTTCATTAAAATTATCAAAGAACTTTTACTGTTTAAAGCACATGTAGAACAGAATAAACTCACAGTGGTTTGATATTAGGTACTTCATACATAAACTGAGTTATGTTTGTATATCATCCTTAAACTTGACATAGTTACTCAAACAAACAACTCATTTAATGGCTAAATCCATCTGCCCTGTCTGATATCACATCCTAACACTACAACATATTTGAGCCTATTTGACAGATGTGCCAATTGCTTTATATTTCTGATTTTATAACCAAAAGAATAAACTGCATTTTAGATCAAGCCAGCCAGCACAGACCCTTGCAGAAAGGTTCTGCAAGACCCATCAAAGCACAGAAACATAACCCCCCGCCTACTCCAAACCCAAGCTGCAAAAACCCTGTCCAGTAAATACAGTGTACTCACCCAGAACTGGCAGACTCTCTGTTTTAAAAAAGAAAGTCAAAAATCCCAAAATTTAAAAAGCCAAAAAAACACACACACACCACAGTACGTACAGTACAGTACCAGGCAATACCAGGCAGTCTGAAGTCTCTCTCCGTATCCACACCCTCTAACCGCTGGGGCGAGTGAGATAGCAGACAAGCAGCCTCTTCGCTGGCTAACGGTTAACTGAAAGTTCAAATTTCCCGCCTTCCCCGGGTTTTATTTTTCATTCATAAGTCAAAGCTCCGTTCGCAAGTCAGAGCACAATTTTCCGACCAGAGCTGTTCGTAAGTTGAAATGGTTGTAAATAAGGGCATTTGAAAGTTGAAGCACCACTGTATACTAATGGCACACATCCCCAAAACTCCAGACAACTTCTCCCAGCAGTTTCATGTAAATGTTAAATAATTAGAGGGAGAGGCCTGAGACCAGAGGGACACCATAGACCAATGGCCAGGGTCTTGAACAGGATTCCCCCCAACACCAGCTTTTGAGTTTGACCATCCAGGAAGGATCAGAAAGAATAAACAGGAATGGAAAACCTTTGAAAATAATTTCCTTATTGTCATCAAGCAAAGTAAATAGACATCTACTTTTACTTCCCTTTGAACCAGCTGATAAATCTTCCAGCCTGCCATATTGCAATGTTTGGTTAGCAAACATTGCAAAGATAATGTTTGCCTTCTTATTCCGAGAAAGGACAATTCCCTCCCAACCACCATCACACACTATCTTTAAGCTGAAACTGTCCATCCACTTTACTTTGGATGCCCAGAGTTTAGAGAGGCTGAGGCAAGGGTATACATATGCAACTGGAAAACCTGAGAAAATGGAGTAAGAGAAACACTGAAAAAAAGCAGATAAATAGAAGACTCCCAAATAAGAAAACAGAAAGAACAGAGCATGTCAGCTTCATGGCAGGGAATGTTGCTAAATCTAGATAGCAGTAGCACGTAGCCCTTTAAGCAGAGTATGACGTAGTGGTTACGCCTCGTGGCGTAGTGGTTAAACCGCTGTACTGCAGCTAAAAAACTGTGCTCACGACCTGGGGTTCTAATCCCAGGTAGCTGGCTCAAGGTTGACTCAGCCTTCTATCCTTCCGAGGTCGGTAAAATGAGTACCCAGCTCGCTGGGGGGGGGCAATGTGTAGCCTGCATAATTAAATTGTAAACCGCCCAGAGAGTGCTTGAAGCGCTATGGGGCTGTATATAAGCAGCACGCTTTTTGCTTTGCTTTATGATGGCAGAGCTATCAGAAAAATTTAAGCAGAAGCATTTTCATGTGAATGAAGGAATATACACTAAGAAGAATACATTGTAAGTTCCCCTGAATGGCTATTCTTTGGCAAAATACACTTTCATAACCCACATGGATCTGTACCAATTTACAGTCTTCCTGTTTGAGCTATTAAATGCTCTCCACGTGTTCCAGAAGTTATTGACTAATCTGTTGGCAGGATTCCTCTTTGCATATGTGTACAAAGATGGTGTAACTTTCCAGGTTTTCCAACTCACCTGGGGGAAAACAACCTAACACTATTCGCTTGCACTTTCCTCAGAAGCAATTACGAGCAAAAATGTTTCTTGGCACATCATTATGCTGTTTAAAAACACAGGCACAAGGATTGGGAAAATCGTGATACACGGGAACTCTTAGGCAAACATTTTCAGTCTCATCTACACTTTTCCCTCTTCTTATGAACAGGGTGCGAAAGCAACAAAAATGCTTGACCAGGAAGCAATGGTTTTCTGGAGGGAACCTGTGGTTAATACCTGCAGAAGAAAAGTGGCAACTCATTTTTTT